ATTTATTAACGTGCATATGTGTAAGAATGAGTTGTTAAAGAAGAAGTAAAATTTTGTGGCTTATGTTAAGCATATTTATAAATTTTACACAGAATCTATAAAATCCATTGAAATCTATAAAATTCATGAAAATCTACAAAAGTAGAAATACATTCAAATCTTATGAAATCTGTTAAATTCTATCAAATTTCACACAATCCATGAGAATTTATAAATATTAAGAAATCTATTAAACTCTAAAATGGGGAGACCCCCGTAAAAGTAGACAGAAAAATTTATATCACTGAATGTCCTTTGGTACTACTTAATTAATATGGGATTATGCAACTTGTAAATAAAAATGATATATAAATTATGACATAAAATTATGTGGAGAGAAAAGATTAGATGAAAAATTTGATTGCGTTTTAAACTGATAAATTATATAATGACATATGACATTATGTAACATATTATATAAAAATGATATAACTTGATGTATTTGTACATAAAAATTATACATAAATGATTACATAAAATTATGTGGAGGGAAAAAATTAGATGAAAAAGTTGACTGTATTTTAAAATGATAAATGATATAATAATATGTGGCATTATGTAACCTAAAATTTGATGTACTTGTAGAAAGATCCATTAATACGTGCACTATATGTTTAGGGTTTTGCCACAAAAATAGAGGGGGTGGCGTTCGGTCAGGCCCTTATTTTTATAGCAAATATTCAAGGCTCACTATTTAATAAGATCTGGACATGAATGAATATTAATTATATCAAATATATATAGTAGTATTTGTACCAAGTTTCAGTAGACAAAAAGGAAGTTAGCAAAGAAGAGAAAGAAAGACTGACGTCCTCGTTAGGTATGATGATTTTCAAGAAATAAAAATGCTCTCTCTCTCTTTCTCGCCCTTTTTGTTTTAGAATGAGAATTTTGGCATTAAGCAATTTTATTAAAAAATAACAAACAGTAAAAGACAGTATCTCGTTGAAACATCTCCGATTCACTAAATTGGATATAACTGAACCATTACCTCATACTTAGTTTAAAGATTATTTGGGTCTTTAATGAGAATGAACACCAAAATTCTCTTTAGATAAATAGACGGTGGAGTTAAGAAATATATTACAATAAAAAATGGCATTTTGAAAGGGGGAAAAAAGAAATTTGAAAAAAAAGGGGAAAAGAAAAGGAAATGCTATTATCTCTACAAAAATGGCTACGAGTATGTTCGGCTAAGAGTTTCTGATCGTTTATAAATGCTTTGATCAAAATATATTTTTTGTCTAACTAGTTTTTATACAAATATTTCATACAACTCACAAGTATTAGTTATGTTAAGTTACGTGGAACCACACAGGGAAGGCCCAAGCATTCTTATAGCTCTATTCGTAGCAAGCCTGCCCTCATTAAGGGTGGATTTAGATTTGGAGGATAGATCTACGAATATTAGTAGGGTCGGTCCTGAAATTTTTTAGATTCTAGGCGTTAAATTATCACGAGGCCCCTATACATAATTTTTTTACAAGCATATTGGCATCAAATATGTCCGAATAAAATGGTTTCTCGTGATAAGAAATGTTATAGCTTTGGTACTCACTCATCATTTGATTTGTACGAGAATCAATTTTCATTTTCAAGAAATACAATGTAAAGATTTTTTGAAAATTAGTGAGGTATGGGGATGGTACCTACTATTTATTATAAAAAATATCTTATATTTAAAAATAAAAATTCCAAAGCAAGAAAGACATTATTGGTAGAGAGGCCCCTACTTTATTTGCACTATCATAAAATATCTAATGTAAGAAAATTAAAAATTTCCATAATAATTATTTTTTAGGCTTTCAAAAATATTTTGAGGCCCCTTTATACCCTGAGGCCCAAGGCCACTGCCTTAGTGGCCTTGGGCTAGAAACGGCCTTGAATATTAGCATAGGCATGATTGCAAATATTAGTGGTAATTACAATTTCACTTTACCTTATGTTACTTTAATTTGATTTTAATAGAATAACTACACTTTAATTTGATTCAAATTTGCAAACTACGATTCAAATTGATTTTAATTGAAGTAACTGCATCTAATTTCTCTCGCAGAAATCGATGACGTAACAGTTAGTAAATGTTGATCATCACCTGAGTGTTAGTTTGCTCATGAAATAAAAGCAAAATTAATAAAATAAATGACGGTCATCATTTATTGATTGTCACATCATCGATTTCATTAGTATAAGTTATAAAATTCCATGAAGTTATCAAATTGAAATCAAATTAAAATGTATCTATCCAATTAAACGAAATTAAAGTATAATTAGCTCATTGATGCTAGAGCTAAATACTTTTTGTAAATGAAATTTACCCAACAACTTGGCATAAAAAGAAATTGAAGCACAATATAATTAAGTGTTGGAGGCCAACTTTTAGATTTGAAAGCCAATTGACAAGTGCACTCCCAAACAAGACTAGTCTTATTTTCTAAATACCTAATTAAAATTTAGACACAACAAAAATATCAAGATAAGAAAATATCATAATTGTTGCCTATAAGTCAACACAATGTAACTTCTTTTATATCAATGCATTCCAAACAGATAAACACAATGTCTTGTTTAGCATTGTAATAAACTCAAAATATTATTTTCCTTGGACCATGTTGTGTACTCTACACCCACAATTGAGGTGAATTAGTTTGGTTGTATCACGAATAGCCCCATTACTTTTTTTTTTTTAATCAAGACTTTATAGAAAAAGGTTCAATGAACCATTTATATATTTTATCAAAATTATATCCACTAATTTGAAATCTCCATTCACTTGTTGGAGAGGTGGATAGATAGGATTACTGGTTGCTCAATCATGACCCTAGCTTTATTAAGTAGAACTTCTATTTCCACCTCCTTTCCTCTCTATTGGAGGCTAACAACCTTGACGTGTAGGGAAAAAAAATTTAGCATTAATTGTGTTGAGTATCAATCTAAGTGTCAACATATTATAGGTCTTATTAAATGAGTCACAATTCTTTGCATTTAGTTAAACCTGTAATTTAGTTATACTAGTGTTGTCACCTATACTGGTAGTAAACACTGGTAGTGTTTTATAGCATTACTCAAATAAAAAAAAAAAAAAGGGATACAATTGGTTTTGCTAAAAAAATGAAATTTTTAGCAAGCCCAAACACAGTCTTAGTTCTTTCTATTGAAAAAAATAAATCTTTATTACCGAATTGTTATCACCATTAACTAAACAAAAAATAACAAGAGATACATTTAGTTATGTTTATCATTTTATCTGAAGAGGAATAATTGTATTAATTCCAATTTTCCATATAGATCGCCGTGTATTATTCCTAATTTATCTTATACTCCATTGTATTCCATCAAATAATGCAAAATATTATATATATTCTTAGTTCTTTGTATTGGAAAAAATAAATCTTTATTTCAGAATTGTTATCACCATTATCTAAACAAAAAATAACAAGAGATAAAATTAGGTATGTTTTTCATTTTATCTGAAGAGGAATAATTGTATTAATTCCAATTTTCCATATTTTTTATTCATGCCCACAAATCTGTTTATTTTAACTTAGATGGAAAATTTTCTCTAAAATCTACAACTGCATAAGAGATTCTCTAAATAATCATCAAAGTACATGTACTCTTTGTATCTTTTATTGTAGGTTTTTAAAAATCTTATCTTGTATTGTAGATTAGTTTTCATATTATTAGATTTTATCTTAGTATTATAGTTGGTTTAGATNATTTTTCATAATTGATAATGATAAATGGACCCAATACATTTTACCTACAATAATATCACGTTCAACCTGTAAATATTTCCTCTAACCATCCATAAAATAGTAATATTTAAAAACTCATTTTACTTCAAATCAAGACTTTGGAGCATATTTACTTGAAAGAGACTCTTATAATTTCACGGGGTGTTCTCAACTAAAATTTTAATGAATTTTAAATGATTATAAATTCGAATGAATTTTGTGGATTTGAATGGATTTTTACAAATTCCATAAAAATTTAATCAAATATGGTGAAATTTCAGAAGATTTGCTTATATATATTTATAAGTTTGAAATCCATCCAAATCTTTTAAAATCCTTCTATTAATAAAAATCCTTATAAATCCACTAATTATTGAAATTATCTAAATTTTAAAGGATTTCATTAAATTCTCAATTGGTGACAGCTAAATTTTAATGAATTTCATTGAGATTCAATAAAATCTCTATTAAAAACAAATAAATTTAAAATGACTTTTAAAATCCATCAAAATCTCAATTGAGAACATCCCCCTCAATCCTAAAGTTACCTCAACGAAATGAAGTTTTTGATAAATATACTTCCATTTTTCTATATTTCAAAATACTAGTATTCATTTTACCCTTCATTGACTTCATCTCAACTTCTTTCTCACCTTCCCTCTTCTCTCATTTCTGTGCCTACACTCATCACCAACTTGTCCCAATTCTCAGGCATTTAACCCCCTTCCTCATGTTGCCCTAGCTCTACACTGCCCTTATGGTAGTGTTGGTTATTATTGATTTGATTAAAGTCAAGATAATATTAATTAATTCAAAAAAGTAAATATGACTTATATTTAAATTAATACATTGAGAAAAAAATCCACTACGGAAAAAAAATTTCATTAAAATAAAAAATTGTTTGCCTTCTAAAAATAATAACTCAGACCTGTCCCTTTTTCTTCGTCCCTACTAACACTTTCTCAATCGAGTCTGTCGCACAGAGCTTGTCTAGTGTGATTATCTGAATGACGTAGTTTGCAGGCTATTGCATCAGCTTGAGAATTTAGTCAGTACGATCCGAAAGATAGCAATTGATAGTTTCCCCGTCAAAAAAAAAAAAAAAAAACCGAATTATCTAAAACGTTATGAGAATTTTCTCATGAAAGTTGCTCATTTTAGAAATTTCCTCAATAGACTTGGACAAATAAATACAAAAACAATGGCATTTACACAATCTGAACCTTGAAACCAGTGGGCGACCCCTCGAAATTTTTCCACAAACAAATAAAAACAACTGCAGAGTCCTAAGGTCCAAGAACCAGTCTACTGACCCAGTTATTTTGTTTTTGAGTCGAATTGAAACGCTCCAGAACATCATAAAACCTAAACCCACTCTCTTGCAAGATTTTGGTCTTTGCCACCCAAAGAAACTGAGAGATTTTGGTAAAAAAGCAAATGCATTTTCTGATGGAACATCGAGATTTTCTCATTTTTTCTCTGTGTTTTCTATTTCTTTTATCGAATCTTTCTCATTCTGTTGCCCGATTTTCTGGAGGGTATGTCTCTCTTTTTGTATGAAAATCTAATCTTATTTACATGTATATTTATTCTTGATCATGACTGATTATTTATTTATTTATTTTTTATTTTGTGGGTTATATCAGAAAAGAGTCGGTGATGAAACTGACGACGGGCACCTCTTCTGTTCCGTTGGATCCAACGCGGGTGATCCAAATCTCTTGGCGTCCCAGGTTCTCTCTCTTTTTTTTTTTTTTTTTTTTTTTTTTTTTTTTTTTTTAACCCAGGTTCGCTCTTTTTTTTTTTTTTCTTTTTAAAGTTTTCCCTTTTTACTCTCAAAATGGCATGAGTCCACTGTGTTTGATCAATGATGATATGATTTTAATGGTGATTGAAATTCTACAGGGCTTTTATATACAGGGGATTTTTGACTGATAAGGAGTGTGATCATCTCATCACTCTGGTTAGCCCTTTTTTCCTTTTCATAATTTGTTGGTAGTGATTTATCAGACTTAATGAAAGAAGGAAATGTGAGAAACCGGGGGAAAATTTGAAATCTTTACGAATAATTCAGATAAGGGGGATACTTGTATTAAGCTAATTAATTCATAAATTAGAGGGATGGAAAGGAAGGGTTATGATCTTCATTTGTTTGATCCCCTTCGGATTAAATTTGGATGAGCAGGCTAAAGATAAGCTGGAAAAGTCTATGGTAGCAGACAATGAATCTGGGAAGAGTATAGAAAGTGAAGTCCGCACAAGTTCTGGCATGTTTCTTAAGAAGGCTCAGGTTAGTGAAAAATCCTATTCCAAGATTTTTCTTTTCTTGATTTTGATCCCTGTTTTAACAATTTTTCCAGATTTGTATGGTTATACACTAACATGGGTGGCATGTGTTTTTTATATTATAATCAGATATTCGGATTCTTGTGAGTAGTTAGAACATCTCCAACAGTGGTGTAAAATTGGGGGTAAATTGGCATCTCCAAAACCACTTTTGTATTATCATTTACATTATGGTGGTTCTAAATTCAAGTTCTGCTCCAATGAGAAGATCTTAAAAAATTGGATTCCAGTGGGTTGGTAGATTTTTGCCCGTTGTGATCTAAAAAAGATGTAAATCTACATCATTTTTTACATTTTTGCCCGAAATTTTCCATCAGAGAGTTTTCCGCTAACTTTTGGAGATCTAAATTACAATATAGATCTAATTTAGAGCACCATTGGAGATGCGCGTTTATGGATGTATCAACTTGTTTCTGCCTGTTAATTATGTGGATGGGGATGCTCTAACGTGGATGGCATGTGTTTTATACTATACTCTACCTTGTGATTGTTATACTGTGGAAGGGGATGCTACCTGAAAAGCAATTCATTTGCATTGTCGTTGTGTTGCAATGTCACGTAAAAATTCTATTCACGTTTTATATTGGAACGACCACAAATATAGGTTTTGCAATGCTATTCTTAAAGTATTTAATTATTGATGGGTGTGTTATGTCATGCACCCCTTATTTAATGAATCAGCGACAATGAGTCAAGTATGTCATACCCTTTTTGGTGGAACCTTCATTTACAGGTAGTTTCTACATTCCTCTAACCATATGAGTCTTCTATAGAATTGCCTGATAGCCTTGGGGTTGCATATGCATTGTGTGCAAAGTAGAATTAGTAGTAGTACCTAAATCCAAAGTCTGACCAGCTCAAATTATTTCATCAATTTGTAGTAGAAAATGGCTTTTATGGGGGCATGAATTAAGAATCTTATTTGACTTTCCCATTTAAAAGGCATGTTATAAGTCACAAGTAAAAATAAAATATAAATATCCTCTATCTTTGAGATACTCTTTCAAATGGTGAGATTAATTCGTTTAGTATCTAATATAGGAAAGAGTAATTGTTTAGGCTTCCAGACCTAATTAAATTTTGTAATGCCTTGTGTATGCATTCTTGAGGTGTGTGACTAGTGCAAAAGACTGCCACTTGGGCTTGTGGCCTGGGTCTGCAGGTTTTGATCGTGGTCATATTTGGGGTTTAGGCTCCGTCTTATTTACAGTCCTCATGTGCGGTTTCCTTCACCTTGATTCTACCATTCCTGCCATTAAGTGGCAATACTTGGCATGCCTATGTACTTATGATATGGGAGACTTGTCATTTCCTAGAATTTTTTTATGGAATTTTTTCACTTCTACTATATCGAGAAGACCATTGCCCCAATATCACATGTTAAATGTGGAGACTTCATTTTCATAAGCTATTTTTGTACTTGAATATAGCCTGTTGAAGTTTTAACGTGCTAATTGTATGTTATTTTTCTGTTGAAGGATGAAATAGTTGAGAGTATTGAAGCAAGGATTGCTGCTTGGACCTTCCTCCCTCCAGGTATTCCAGAATAGTTTTCTTTAATATTTGTTCACTCCATTTTTGTTTAACAAAGATTTTTTACTCTATGAATTTTGCCATGTAGAGAATGGGGAATCTATTCAAATATTGCATTATGAGCATGGAGAAAAGTATGAGCCACACTTTGATTATTTTCATGATAAGGCCAATCAAGAACTAGGTGGTCATCGGGTGGCTACTGTACTTATGTACTTGTCAAATATTGAGAAGGGTGGAGAAACAATTTTTCCAAATTCAGAGGTATCTAATAATGTTATTGCTTATCCTCATCTTTTTCTCCCTTTGCACAACCAAGATAAAATTTTCTATTCCCTTTTTCCTCCCTCTTATTCGTTTAATTTGTATTGAAGGCAACTCAGCTTAAGGGCAGTGACTGGTCCGATTGTGCTAAAATTGGCTATGCAGGTATTGTGTTTTTACCGATTGGCACATCTATTAAGCATGACATGGTCTAGATGGATGAGGTTCTCTTTATTGTCTTCTGCTATTTTGGGCCTTGCCTGTGTTTCCATTAGGCCGATCTTCGTTATTTTAACTCAGAAAGCAGATAATACTTTCTGTTAGTTAGTAGTTAGAAGAGTGATAACTTCCTTTCAAGAGATAATTTGAGGCTCGAGCGTGAAAATAAGCGTCTTACTTGAATTGAGTCGACTTGACCTTATGGTAGTAGAAATTTTGGATTACATGCATTTACTTTATGTTCTCTCTCCTTTACAGTAAAACCCCAGAAAGGTGATGCGTTGTTGTTCTTTAGTCTTCACCCCAATGCAACCACTGATGCATTAAGCTTGCACGGGAGCTGTCCTGTCATTGAAGGCGAGAAGTGGTCAGCGACAAAGTGGATTCACGTGAGATCTTTCGATATACTACATGAGAATTCTGTGAGTGGAGATTGTGTCGACTCGAATCCAAACTGTCCTGCATGGGCTCTCAAGGGTGAATGCGAGAAAAATTCTTTATATATGGTGGGTTCAGAAGATTATATGGGTCATTGTAGGAAGAGCTGCAAGGTGTGCTCGTCGTAGTAACTTCTGTTCTCGCAAATTAACATGTTTGTAAGAGAGCAGAACTTGTCTATTATTAGTGTATATAATGGTAATCTGTGTTTTTACCCTCACAGTAGTTTAACATTTTGATCAATCTTATTAATCAAGTGTGGACATTAACATCGTGGGTTAGATTTTGCTCTCTTCCATTTGTGAAATTCAATTTTAGGCGCCGTCTTTGATAAAGAAAAACGAAAGATGGTGAAATCCCCTAAGCTCTTTCTTGTCGACCTTTGAAACCCGCTATGTCAAATTCGACGTATGGAACGAATACTAATATTTCAACAAAAACATACACATCCAAACAAATGGGAAAAAAAAAAAATAGTGTTTCGCATGGGATAAAATTTTGCTATTTGACACTATCGTGGCTAGCCAAATACCTGGAATTTAGGTTTTCTTGGTATTCTATTGATTAATTAATTAATTAATTAAAAAGTTATCTTGGGTGCATCGAAATAAGTTACCAAAAGTTTGTTGTTAATTAATTTCTTTTGTTTCTTTTCATAAATTCCAACATAAGTGATACATTGAGGTAGAACAGAATGCTGTGACAATGTTGTATAAGCATCTTTTGTTTTATTTTAGCTAACTAATTAATAACTATTTTAATCAATCACGATGATTAAAACTACGATACGAGTACATTAACTTTCAAAAGTTTGCACTGCATCATTGTCAAACTTTTAAGATAGAGATCTATATACAAATAGTTAAAATTTTCTACCTCATCGAAACGTGAAACTTTAGCTCGGGCCAATCGATTTATTCGTCATACTTAGAGGTAACACTTGAATATAATTTAACAATATTTTTATCGAGACGTTTGACTAATTCCCTTGTCGAAAATGGTAAACAAACAGCTCAAAAACAGGGAACATAAAATAGACTGATGTGGCAGCAAGTTGTTGGATTTTATTTTTTATTTTTTATTTTAAATTTTCAACCACATATTTTTCAAAAAAATACTATTTCAAAAAATTGAAATAGCAAATAACGGGAGCCAAACGGGGGCTAATTCTAATTATATGACCGCGTCTATTATTGTTGAAAAGACCTCAACAATTATATTTCAACATGGATATGTTCGACAAATTTAAGTTTACAATATGCATCAACACTCGTGTTTAGAAAATCAAATATAATTATGTTTAAAAATGATGCTTTAATAGTATTTGTATTGTCGCGATGACTCTACGAGTTTTCAGAGTGATTGAGTGTTTTTTGGACCACTTCTATGAAAATTTCTTCAATTTAATTAGTTGAGGCGGCTTGGGCCTCTGGGTCGCGTCCCACATCGGATGGAGAAGAATTGAAAAACGGGTTTATATACGAAATATGTGGCACAAATCCCAACTCCACCACGAAACGAAGTGAACGGGGTGTGAACCTGCATCTGGTAGGTTCGAGCCCCAGGAAAGTCCCCGGGTCATGATTTGCAGAGATGCAAACCCAGGAACGGGTGGCCTCCGTGTCAATGGGCAATATAGCCACTGTGCAATGGGCTGAGACGTGTGTGGAGCCCTAATTGCCCAAGACCGGAGTTCTTTGGCCGATTATGTCACAGTTATTCACTTGGTCCTAATGCGACTAACTGAACGGGGCTTACGATTTCGTGGTGTTACTCTTTTTTTTTTTTTTTTTCCGACCTGCAGACTTCTTTGGCCAAGTATTTACTTGGTTCTAATGCGACTAACTAAAGGGTTCTACGATCTCGTGATTCTTTCTCAATTTCTCTTCTCCTTGAACTAACTAACAAAACATGAATAAGACTCTTCATCTCTCAAAAGTGCTTAGTAGTGTAATCTGACAAGGAAAGTAGATGAGACAATAGACACATGATCGCATTGAGGACCGTATAATTTTTCCCCCATACAGCAAACATGATAAAGAGGATCATTGTCAAAGCCTGAATAACAATTCAATTTATGATCTTCAATGCAAAATATCAAAGGACTATTAAGAAAACAGCATATTACCCACATTTAGAACCACAGCAACTTCACAAAAATTTCAATCAAACAGAATGTTTCGTATCAGTTAATTTATACAGATAAACTCAGCAAATACGGAACCAAAGCTGATCGAATATCACATCACTTGCTCTTGGGAACTTATCTCAGTTTGAAGAAATATGGTCAAGAAATTTGTTCACACAGTGTTCATGTATTTCACGTGATATTTAGAATAAAGATTGAGGGAAATGGAAAGACATGGAGGCAAGACCAAAGGGTGAAATTTCATCACGTAGACACTGGTGGATACCTACACAATCATGACAAGAAATACACCCGCATAGCTGGCGGACAACAAGAGGTGATATCAATATGAAGTCATTATAGTATTCAATAATATCATGCCAGTTTTCATTAAGTAACATCCTCAAAGACAACTCCCTTGCATGCATTGCAGATTTGTGGTGACCGGAAAAAGCTAGCTGATAACGTTTGGTTGGCGGCAGAGGGCGTGTATCTCCCCACTTCCAGAAGCAAACGATGATTGCCGGGATAGCACGACTATGCATAGTTCAACTCTTTTTTATTGTTGTTATTGTTACGCCTATGAATTATCACTCCATATTGGGCCACCTTATTGGACCCGAGCTAGGTCCATTAGTGTTGGGCCTCAAAGCCGAGGCTCTAAGAAGCCTAGCCGAGGCGCCACCGAGGCCATAAAAAGCCCAGCCGAAGTGCCTATCACTTTGCTCACCTCATACTGGGCTCGAACTTAGGCCCATTAACCCGCCTTAGCCCATTTCACATCATTTCTTTATATATATGGATTCAATTCACAAGTTAAGGTATGTTCTACATTCTCTAGCCAAACCCCTATCTCCATACTATTGCACTCTATATATCTATCTCCGTCCGACCGTTGACTTGACCGTCGGAGTGCAAACGGTCGTCGGACCTTCTTCTCGTCCGGCTGCCTTTGCTTCTTGACGGGGTGCTACTTGCGCAGGTTTCGAGGGGGCGAGGCTAGGGTGCCTGTTGGAGCCATTTTTGGAGGTCAACAGTTATTATTATTGTTGACCTCCAAAAACGTGCCAATAGATGTCATTCAAAATGATGCACACATGGACGTATTCCTCAATATGTCGATTGTAAGCTAAAACAATATTTGATTGCTGATCAAATATGTTTAAAACAAGTAAGACATACTCTTGTAGAAGAAGAATATATGGAACAATGAGTGGGTTTATGTAGAGAGAAAAATACAATGCTTTCTCATATGTCTGGAAATCATCCCCCTAAAATCTTACAAAGATCGCTATTTATAGTAACCAAGCTGACGTGGTCATTGTTGGATCAAATTCACATGACCTGATTTGCTAGACCCTACTGTCGCATCATCCTATCTTATATTAATTACATTTGACAGACAGTTGACAAGGGATCAACCGTCCCACATTTCTAGGCTGACATTCCTGACATCTATTTAATGAGGATGTCACATCAATCAATTCTAAAGATAGGCCTATCAGACCCTTTTTTGGATGTTATGAACTTCGGATGTGAAGGGGTTCGGCAAAAAGGAGAAAAGCCACTTCGGTTGAACAAGGAAAAAGAGACCACTTCGGAGAACTTCAGCATTATGACCTCGGCTGTTGATAAAAGCACTTCCATAACCCTCTCTTTACCCTTGATTAAGTGCCACGTGTATGAACACGGGGCTCTCACGTGGTCTCATTGAGAGTACTACTTATGATCAGTAATAATAGTTTCTGAAGTCTAAGTATAGTCATTCATGTGATACATAGAATTTGTATTTCATAAGGAAAAGAAAATTTGATCACGTGGGAGAATTTAATTGCATAACAATATAGTCCCCCAAGTCTAATTTGTGAACATTTATGTGAAAATTAGAGTTTTTGGTTAACCTAGCTGCCCTCAAGGCCACACTTTGAGGAAACTTGCCTGAACTGACGCTCATTTGTTCCGAAGTTGTAGTTGTACTTATATGCCGTGAGTCATAATGCTGAAGTGCTGTGCTTTGTTAATGTAGATGAGGTTGTAAGAGAGATTGGAAAGATTGTACAGGTCACTGTTGGGGAGTACAAGGCATTATCGAGATCCATGCTAAAATGATTAGCTGTCATCAACGATTCCCAAAAAAGACGGCTGACAATGGTTCAAGTTCTCATACACGCAACTGTCACCACATTTAATGTGCAATAATAGCTATCGTGGGTGCGCTTCTCGCTGCCTAGGCGTATTGGCGGGCGTGAAAATCATGGTATAAGTTGAGCCTTAGAATATGAAATGGCAAACGTGGTGAGCGGTTCAAATTTAATTGCCAGATCAACGATTGGGTGATTTGATCATTAATCCAACAGCTGGGATCAAATTTCTTCATGTATTGTTTGTTATTCCGAGAAATATTAGAGCTAGGTCTTCTTTGTTCATGTAAAACGATTCAAGAAATTAGTGAATATTTTTAGAGGTTTTTAAATTGTTATCAAATTCTATTGATTCTGCTTTAGATGCCCTTGGAAGGGAATAACTTATAAATTTAGTGCAAGTTTTGTAGTGTTTGGTTTTGGGGATTAATTAAATATCGATTATGGCTACTATATTAAAGCCATATTTGATTCTCATTCTTCTAAAAATTTATTTTTTCAAAACTCATTTTCAACAACACATACTTCAATAAAATAATATTACACGCAAATTCAATTTTTTTTTTTAACTTTTAATCACACATTGTCTATCAATCTACTATTTAAAATGCATTATTTCTTTCAAAATGGGAATCAAACAATAGCTAAATAAATTCAAAAAAAAAAAAAAAAAAAGGACTTTAGTTGGAAGGTTAAATTAGGAGTGTAAAGTGCATTGAGTCACTTTGAAATTAAACTTTTAGTTGATTTTTTAGGAGTGTAAAGTGCACTGAGTCCCCGTTTGTTCCACATTTTTTCAACAAAAATGCATTTTAAATATCACATTATGAGTCCTACCTTAAAGTGTTGAAGTCAAATATTGTAGGCTGATTTAATGAAAAAAATGTATTATTTTCCCCAATAATGTGCACCAAACGAGGCTTAGCTTGTGCAAACTACAAGCTTGGTCAAGCATAAAAAGAGACTTTCAAAACAAGATGGTTCAACTCGGATACATAGGTTATACTATTCTAT